TAAATGTTATTTTCAGCTTTGAAACTACAGCTGGTGTAATATGTCCTAAAGCTAATGCCTGTATTAAATTGCCAGTTGTGAGCAAGTAAAATAAAAACTAAGTCAAAATAAATTTATGCAGGCAGAAGCACTGAATTAAGCAATTGTGGAGCTCTGAAGTTTTTGTAGTAAATATTTTATTTTAGCACCCTCTCTCGGACACAAACCAGCATTGCTGGTGTTTACTATTAAAAGGCTTGGCTAAAGCTGGAAAGCATTTGCAACAGGAAAAGTCCTTGGCTGCAGTCACAGATACAGCTTTGTTATGTATTTTTGTATTCTATAAATTAACATAAATAGAATTTTCTGATCCCTCTTAGGATTATTATCTTCATACAAATAGTCTGTATAAGTAATTTAAGTCAGCTAAGAACTAGGAAAAGCATGAGGCCTCCAAAGCAAATATAGAACGTGAGTTGTTACAAAAGACCATAGTTCCTTGCTGTTCCTCGTTGTCTGCATGTCTCCTGCGAGGAGCTTGCTGGCATTAACTGCTGTGAATTGAGGAATTGAACCTGAATGTTCTCTCTTACAGCCACCAGTATTTGGTGTTAGGGTAGCTTGTGGAGGTCCCAGTTTGGGACCATTGTCTTGCTGTGTCGTACATCCAAGAGCTCACAGTGTCATGAGTAACAGGGGTGGGAGGAAGCCATTTCTCTGTATTCCCACCCCAGGAAAGAAAAGTGTATTAATGCCAAAAGAAAATCAGCAGTGGGAAGGTCAGCAAGTATATTCTGAATAGCAGAAGAGACAACAATTTGCACCTTCTGCATGAACTGTAACTACCTGCCTAGCTTCTGGGGTACAACTGATAGGCAGTCAAGTTCCTATACATTATTTTGGCTCCAGTAGTTGATATGGTTGCCAGTTACCTTCAGAGATACTGCCAAGAGAAGGATTAAAAAATTAGGACACGGTAGAACAAAAACTGCCTGCATTACGTTAACTTGCTCTTCCTGCCCATATTCATTTTACTAAGCCTTATTTGCAATAATAGGCTTCAGCAACACTCCCACTTCATCAATGCAGGGTGGGGATGATAATAAACAAACAGGAGGCCATGAATGATGCAAGGATCTTGAAAAGGACAAAACCAAACCAAACCAAATCAAAGTGGCTGAAATTCTTTTTCAGGACAAGAATAAATGCCTCATATAGAATAATTTCTGTGCTGTTTACATATAAGTTTTTACAGCTAGTCAATGATTTCATTCTTCCTTCTGCTGTCTCCTTCTAGGTAACCAAGTGTGGGTTTGTTGAAGTGCTGAGCACTTGCAGCAATACCCGACATCAGCAAAAGCTGTGCTACAAATAAACAGGCATGAGATTTGCCCCACATGCCAGCTCAAAAGCAGACCAAAAGGGACAATCAAAAATCAGTTGAGACTTCAAATGTGTCTGTCTGCGTCAGCCCTGTCACAGGTGAAGGAGGGATAATAAGATCCCTCCCTTTGTCTTGCCATGCAAACACAAACACTGCTTAACTGGCTTCTGTGAAACAACTGGTTGGTCTAGATGCATCAGCTCTCACACCCTGAAAATAAGATTTGTGCCCTCAGCATCTGCACCCATTTCCCCTGAGCTAAAGAATCTTTATCTCTCTTATTCGCAGCATTGTGGGGCCTTGGTGCTTTGAGGAAACATGACAAATGCTGCTGCTGTAAGCCATGGTTTTGGGGCCTCCTGAGTGCCCCCCTTGCCAGTCTGGTGCTGCAGTCCTTCTGCTGCCTGATGGCCTGATCATCCTGTTTTCCCTACCCCCAAAATATTATCTCAGTGTGTCTGTGGTAGTACATGCTGAAAGAAGATGTGGGAATATTAATCAGTGTTGAGCATCACAGGAAAAAGTGTTCAATGTAGAATATTGATAGTATGCAACGTAATGAGAGGATGGAGAGAAGGTCATAATGTCATGAGTGAGATTTTTCCATTCTCCTCAGGGAATGGATGAGCTATATCCAATTTTGTGACTACGCATCACACATACACACTTAAGGAACTGGACATACCAAGATTAGATTTGTATATATCCTTTTATCTGAACTTCAGTAAGTAGAAAACCTCATGTGTCTAACAGTAGTTCTGTTTTCTTTTATGTGATTTTATGCGGTTTTGAAAAATAACCATGTCCACATTGCAGCTCATTTCTCCAGAGTGCATCATTATTGGTATTGTACAGATTTTTGGCACATTAGCACATGAAATTACACCTAGTGGGATATATGTGTATTTATTTGTGTCATTTAACTTTAATCTGAAGAAAAGTCTTAGGTAAAATGCATGGAATAAGTTTGGGTTTTTTCATTCATATGGAATGCATATAAATCTTAACTGACATGAAGTGGTTCAAAAGAAAGGGTTTATTTAATGTATTGGGAAAAATAGAGTAACAAAGATTGTGTTAACCAAATGGTTGGAGGGGGAAGAGTTTCTTCTTGTACCTCGTGGTTTGGTTATAGTGCAACACCCCTAGTAACCCCTCACCTATATATCTATCTCCTATTTAAGTGCCCTGGCCATTATGTCAGAAAGTCCTTTTTATGTCTGTCCTGAGGACAATTTCAGTACTTCACCCATACTGGCATTCAGCATCTCAGGAAAGATATTAGAGGGAAAGTCTAATGGAGCAAGGAAAACTTAACCTCAGTGGAGGAGGATCAGATTAGGGGGCACTTAAACAAAATGGAAATATCTTAAGTTCCCAGGGCCTAAGAGGTTGTGTCCTTTACTGCTGAGAGAGATGGCTGATGTCACTGTGAGGCTGTTCTCAATTAGCTTTTAAATATGCTGTTGACTGGGAGACATTCCTGGAGACTGGATGAGACCAAGCATCTCCTCTATCTTCAAGGGGAGCAAGAAGAAAAATCTGGAGAATGACAGGCCTGTGAGCTTTATCTCGGTCCCTGGAAAGGTCATAGAAAAAAATCCTTCTGGAATTCATGTGGTCTCCAAAACCATGAAGATCAAAGTAATTGTGACTAGTCAAAATAGATTTATGGACAGGAAATAATGCCTAAGTCACCTGATGGCCCTCTACAACAATGTGACAAGCCTGGTGAATGAACTAGAGAAAGTGATACCTAAATAAGTAAAATTAAGGTTTTCCAAACTGAACATACACTGGTTAGGCATTCAACATGTACAGAACATATGAGAACTCTAATTGCTACTTGTTTTAATTTTTTACTTTCTAGTCTATTAGAACCACAGAATATGTTGAGTTAGAGGAGACCCATCAGGACCATCAAGTCCAAGTCCTGGCCCTGAACAGGACACAGGACACCCCAAGAATTATTGTGTGCCTGAAATTCCATATTGCCTTGAGCAATACTATATATGTTTGAATGTATATATATGTACGTATGTATATCTAAGGCCTGTATACATGGATCACGTATATTTATTGCTCCAAAATTCCAAGATTATTGCTCTCAATTCCAAGATTAATTCTTTCTTCAATTCTGAATGCTATGTGGTTCTGCAATGCTTGAGGATGTGATTTGAATGAATCTATTACTACTATTATTATACCAATTTGGAACCGCAGGATGACATATCTGGAATATTTTAATAGCCCTTAAATTTGACAACTGTTTTACAAAAAAGAGAAGGTAGTAGTCCCATATCCAGAGAACTTACTGTAACTGCAGATGATAAGCAAAAAATCAGAGAAGCAGAACAGTGCAGCTAGGAGGAAGCTTATTTTTCAAAAATAATATGGTAGCAACTGTTACTACTTTGCTTTTTTTGTAATACAAAAGAAAGCTCTCTTAAGTAAGGTTATATGTAACAAGTGCTGAGGCAGAATTCTGAACACGTTTAAAGATCAGGAGTCATGTCAAAGTTAAAAGGTGGAAAATAACAGAAAGCCTGTTTCAAATAAAATTATACTGCAAAATATATGCTATGTTTTAATACTCCAAGCAGACTATTAGACAGGGCTTGGAATGTTGGGAAAAGAATGCTAGGATCAGAAAGAAAGAACTCCAGGTTGATTTGGTGAAGTCACAGCAGATTTAAGGATGTTGATGGGGGACCACACGTGCAGGTAATTTTCGTTTACAGGTATGTTGAAGGGAGGAGGCATGTGGCATGCTCAGAGTCCACGAAAACAAAGAATTGTCAGCTTCGCCTAAACAGGGAGATTTTTAAATAACACATAAAAGAGATAAAGAACTGGACTAGCTTTCTCTGGCGTGTCACTACAATGGTGGCACACCCACGGGAAACTGAGCTTCTGTAATATTGGATTTACACACGTTTCCAGTAGTTTTAGAAACATTAACCAGCACACTACAAAGGAAAAGTTTAACCTTATTCCAGTGCTAACAGCAAAGTCCATATCACAATTAAGGTAATCTCACAGTTCTGAGAGACATTATTTCCTCAGATTTCTTTTAAGTGGGAAGGGCCAGCTTTGATGTGCCAGCATCACGTCAACAGAGGGCAAGAGCCAAGGTTAGGCGGAATTCGAACCATGTCGGGCGCAGAATCGCTTCCTTGGCTAAGGCCTAGATATTCCTCTTGTCCCTTTATACAATCGCGGTGGACGCGAGGGCAGGAATGGCAAGAGGGTTGCTCCATCCCTAAATCTGAGTCATAGAGAGATGGAATCATTGAATGGCTTGGGTTGGGAAGGACCTTAAAGACCACCCAGCTCCAACCCCGCTGCCCGGGGCAGGGGCACTTTCCACCAGCTCAGGCGGCTCAGAGCCTCGCCCGCCCGGCCTCGAACCACCCCTCGCCCCGCTCAGGGCTGCAGCCACCGCCACCAACCGCTACCCCCGCCCTCACACAGCCCTAACCGCCCCCCGCCACCACCGCCCTGCCGCAGGGCACACCGGGACTTGTAGTCCTCGCTGGCGGGAGTTGCCTTTCCACTCTGGGCGATGCGGTGGAAAATGAACTACAGCTCCCAGCGCGTCCCGCGCACCTCCCCGCGCCAGCGCGTTGCTCCGGGAGCGCCGCCCCGCCTGGCCGCTGGCGGCTCGGCGGCGGGAGGAGGAGCAGGAGCGGGGCCGCCGGCCCGGCCGGGTCCTGTGGGCTGCCTCCGGCCGCGCCATGTGGCAGAGCATTGGGCTGACCCTGCTGGTGATCGTGGCCACGCTGGCCTGCGTGCTGCTCTTCATGCTGTGCGGTGAGTGCCGGGGCGCGGCGGGCTCCTGCTGGCCCGGCTGCGGCGTTCGCTGCTGGTGCCCCCCGCCCGCCCTCGCCCCAGCCTCGCAATCTGTGGTGGTTCCTCCAATCTGTGATGGTTCCTCCAGCCTGTGGTGGTTCCTCCAGCCTGTGGTGGTTCCCCTTGGCTCGGATTGACTGGGGGAGGAAAAGGGCACCGTGCCCCGGCCTGTGGGCAGCGTGTGTGGCGTGCAGCGCCCTCTTCTCTTTGTTCCCGAGGCGTTCCCAGCCTTGATAGGCTCCTAGAGCTTTACTTTGGTGTTTAATTCGCTGTTTCCTCTGGAAATGAGGGCTTGTTTTAGTGATGGGACTCCTGAGCAGTCACCCTGTGCGGCTTCTACGTGCGTGGATCTGCAGTGCCCGTGGGTGCAGGAGGTAAACTTGGGGCTGGCATCCCTCAGTTCCTGACGTCCCTGTGCTAGAGTTGGCTGAAGACAGCTCTTAGGAGGTTCTTCTCATGTGGAGCGAGAGAGGGAGGCTCGGGGGGGACCTCGTCTCCCTGTACAACCTCCTGGCTGGCTGTAGCGGGGTCCGTCTGCTGTGCAGGCAGTGAGAGGCCCGGGGGAAATGGCCTTAAACTGAGACAGGGCAGATTCAGATTAGGTATTAGGAAATATTTTTTCACTGTTGGAGTGGTTGGGGATTGGAGCAGGTTGTCCAGGGAGTCACCATCCCTGGAGGTGTTCAAGAGGTGTCTGGATGTGGTGCTGGGAGAGTTTATTGATTTAGGGGTTAAATGGCAACGCTGGGTGAACGATTGGACTGGATGATCTTAAAGGTTTCTTCCAACCTCGATGATTCATCCAAGGCTTTTTTTTTTTTTCAATACACCGAGAGAAGGGTTATTTCAATGGAAGGGATGACTTGCAGGTCTTTTGGGAGTTCTTGGAAGGAATCAGCAGTGCAGTGTGTGAGTGTTGTGGCCAATATGCAGAGCTTGCAGCTCACAAAACAAATAAAAAACACGCCAGCAAATTCAAACTATGCCATAACATGTGATGAAAGGCTTGTGAGACTTCCAACCACTTCTAAACCTACCTGGCACCTTGGTGACAGGTGTGTTTACAAGTGGTTTCTGAAAAGCTTAGGGAGCAAAGTGAAGACTGATGTTTAATAGTTTAAAAGCTGCTAATTGTTGTCAAAATGACAAAGCATTGTGGAAAGATTTAGCACTATCAAGGGAGTGGATACTGAAATGGGAAGTGAAATCCAGTATTAGCATGTATGAAGTAAGGCACTTAGAAAGTGTGAAATGTATACACATGTAATTTGTATGCAGAAATATAATGGAATCAAACTGAGCTGCTATTATACCAAATAAAGGATTAGCTGAAGTAATTGCAAGCATTTCTAAAATATCTCTGTAATGCTTTGTAGCTAGCAAACAGGCAATCAAACTTTAGAAGCCTGAAACAGAAGAGAAAATGTCATTATACTGCTATAGGAATCATTCATGTGCATGTGTCTCACACAGTGTATTTTCTTGTTAAAGTGTATTACTTCATTAAAAAAATGAAATCCTAGTTTCTTTTTAAAAGACAGGGTTTCCTCAGCAATTCTTTGTTTAGTGCTGTGAAATTATTTTGCATGAAGAAATTCTTAACAGGTTAGATCTGTTAAAGCCTGGAAAACATGACTGGAGAAGGGGTGATGGCTATACCACTGAGTAGCAAGTCAAAAGTCAAGTGGGAAGCATTGTGAAATGTCATAATTGCAGAGGAGTTGGAGTAAGTGAAGATAAATGGTCAAGAAACAGGCTGAAAACAAAAAATTGTCTTTTACACAATGGGGAAATAATTTGCAAGCTCATTAACAAGGAATATTTTGGATGTTGAAACTTCTGTCATTTAACATTCCTGGAAGAAAGGTCAGCATCTTGGTCATTATCTTGGGTGAGGAAATCTGTAAAATACTGATAACTGGAACTGCAAGGCTATACTTTGCTTGGTCTCCTGCTCTTTTCCTGCATGTCCTGTACTGTCTATTGTTACAGAATAAACAGTGGCCTAAGTAGATATTTATTTAAGTTTCTCTACCCTCATTAGCTGTTGACTGGCCACTTTTCAACTTTCAGAAGATGTAGCATGGTAATTGCTAGGGCTTTTATATCTAAGTATGCATACAAGATACTTGTTTACTATCTTGTTGAAAGTGTAATACAATTTTGCAACCTGCTGTTCACACTCAGAAACAAGCATAATTTTCCTCAGGCCCTTCTGCCTTTGTCAGTATATGACAAATGGAGTTGGAATGCTAAGCATTAACTTTGGCTAATAACATAATCATTTGCCTAGTGCTTTCGTGGTTAAAGAAAGCAGAAGTAATGAATAACTTTACTTTTAAGTGGCTTGTAAATACTTAGCTTGTTTGGAGTTATATATTGGACATTCATCTTGAATTTCATTAATATTTTGCTTTGAATTCTTAATTTTATTTTACTTTGATCAATGTCAGGCTTTATAAAATGATTGGTAAAAGTCCCCTAGATTTCAGATGTACTGAACAGAGGAAGCTGACACATTCATTGGGTTTTTGGGGGAGGGATTTGAACTATCATATAGTTCATTCTATCATATATCATGATAGAAGTGACTCAGTGGGATTTGATAATGATTTATAGTATTTGTCATTATTTTTCCATCATTCAGCATTTATTAATTAATTAATATTGGGCATACCACTTAACACTTCACTTGCCGTGGAAAATAATCAAGGAAAGCAGTGTCAGGACCACTACTGGGAAAAAAAAGTACTTTGAATTTAATTGTTTATCTGTGCTAGTGACATGCAGTTTCCCTGGAAAGGCTGGAAAAAGTAGCGACCTGTAGGTGAGAAGTGGAGAAGAAACTGCCTGAATGCTGTGTGTGACAGCATATGAGCAAAAGCCAGTCAGTGTGACATACAAATTAATGGGCAGGTCTGACATAGGAAGGGCTGGATATAATCTGGAGTAAGCCTGATCTGATGATAAGAATGTTTTGCAGCCATCTGACAAGAGGTGTTGAAACAACATTGAGAGGAAGGGTAAAGAACTGGGACTTGGATTTTGTGTGGCTCATAAAAGGACTTATGTTGTGATTTCCTGTAGAGAGTAATAAACTTAACTATCCGGGATCAGGTGGATTTCTGCTGCCCATCCATACATAATATGATAAGTACTATCAAAACTTAAATAATGAGTAAAACATTGACTTTACCTTTTTTTTTTCAATGTGAAAAGATAAAATTCAGAGCACAAATTATCAGAAGTTACTTTTTACTTTGACTGGTTCTTCAGCAATGTGAATTAGGCATTTATGTCTATAAATGTACTTTGAATTAATGGCCTGATTTCTTTAAAACATGTCTGAATGCTGGTGAGTGCTACTTTCAGTGTTAATCTGAATTAGTTAAGAAGCATGGGAGGCTTGCAGCTAGCATTTGTAAACTGATCACTTCTGACACAGAAACCACTGAGGTACTGTAAACACAGCAAATTTTCAGTTGCCCCCTTAAAAGTGGGACTAAGATAACTTGCTCCCCCTTTTTTCATTCTCACATTTTCTGATATTCTTTTTCTGGTGGTCTTATTGCTGCTTTTCTGTATTCCATGTACCTCTGAGATGGGAGGAACTTGTGCATGGTCAAAGATATAGGATAAAATAAAATACCAGCCAAGGTGAACTCTAGTACTGCTTACCTCTGTGTATTTGTTATATTTTCCCAGTGTAGTAATGCATGAAGCCAAGTGAAATTGCCAAAGTGCCTTCACTGGAACAGATGGAAGCATTCATCTCATTTGTCAAAAGAGGCTAATGAAATGCGGGTTGAGACATACAACCTTAAAATAAAAATCATGTAACTCTAAATGCTGAAATGAATGTGTGGTTTGCTTCAGAAATATGAATTCAGTTGCAGATGGGAAAATATTTCAGCTCTAAATTCTGCCTGAATAACTTTTCTTTAATGCTTTGCATAAACAGTTTTGTAACTATCTTCAATGAGTGATTCTTTGGAAATACCTTAACAGATGAGGAAAGTCTTGCTTGATTAGACTACTTGTAAAGAGAAAATATCCTTTAATTTGAAATTGAGTTTACAAACTGTTGTAAATGGGAGATAAGAAGATAGTAAGTTTCCTTTGGCTCAGTCAGCAAGCAGCAAGTGGTAGTGTTGCATTAAATGTGAACAGGTTTATGGAGCTGTGCAGAGCCAAGCACTGTGTCATCTGATGTCCCATGTTATCCCAGTATCAGAGTAGTGCTTCCTTCAGG